TTTCCAAAGTGATGGTTGGGTACACAGTGCCAAGCCAAAGCAACACAATCGCAAAAGGATGAGGGACTTGTAGGGACTGTGGTGTGCGGTGAGAGACCAGCAGCTTTCTTTCATTAGGAAATCGGTTTGAGGGCTGCAGATACAGCTCAGTGCTGCTTGTTTAGCAAACACAGGACCCTAGTTTCAATCATTAGTGCAGAGAGGAAAGAAGAAACAATTCAGTGGTAGAGCACCTGCCAAGAATCCCCCAGTGAGGGGCTGGGGTGTGGCTCAGTGGTAGAGCGGAATCTCTAGAATTCCTGTGAGGGGTGGGGCTAACAGAACACTGGCTAAGCATGTTTATGGCCCTGGTTCAATGCCCAGTATTGGAGTTTGGGTAGGAACTCTATGACAGAACACAGAGGCAAAAGCACCTGCATGGAGCTCATGACCATCTTTAATACTCATCAATAGTGTGGCAGCTGGAATTTAAAGAACAGGTTGGTGACTGGCTTGATGATGCACATCTGTAATCCCAGTCCTTGGGAAGATCATTGTGAATTCTAGGCTTGCCTGGGCTACACAGTAAGATTCTGTTAAAATTCTTCGCCACGAGGCTGCCTGAGACCCAAGCATTTTTTTTTTTAACCTCTTCCCTGAATTCTTGTGATAAATCCCTGGTGCTACCTCAGGTGTAAGCATCATAAACACAATTCAAGGGCACAGTCCCCATCCTCTAATTTTGTATCCTCAAGTTCATCCTGTTGGGGCCCATAAAGATGGCTCCCCTTCATCTTGGCTCTAGGTCAGAGAGTTCAAAACTGTCCTTAGTAAGTCATAAAACCCTAAAGGTCTAGGCATGGCTACAGTAGGATGTTTGATCTTGGACTAGGGTGTCTTATCCAAATAACAACAGACTTGGTCTGAGGTGTAGTTACTCTTGATCCTCAAAGCCAGATAATGAGAAATTAAGTCTAAGGTGTGGTTACCAAATGCTTGGAGAATTAAGGAAAAACAGTTTGTTTGTTCTAGGTACATGATACCATGTTCCCATTTTTGGTTGGGTATTTAAGAATGTTGAAGAATAAAATTGACACATTCAGTATTCACTGGATTGCACTCCTGATTCTATCCTGTCTCTTTTTCTTAACATCTTTACCTGCCATTTCTCAATCCACACTCCCTCTCAGGTATGAATAGGGCAAGTCAGCTGGATCCAAATGAAGGCCCATAATGGCCGGTTCCCACAGCATCCCTTGCTTGATTCCCTTAGGTTCCCTTCTCAAATGTTTCTCCTCCTATACCTATCTTGAGGTCAACTCTGGCATGGGCGTGCGCACAGACACACACACACACATGTACACATACTCGGTCACCATCAGGTGCCTCTACCGCCTGCTTTCTACCTTGTTTTGAGACAGTATTCCTCACTGAATATAGAATTCACTGTTTTCAGCTAGACTAGGTGGCCAGCCAATCCCCAGGGTCTGTGCCTCCCAAGTACTGGGATTACAGGCTGCACAACCACACCCAGCTTTTTACATGGGTTCTGATCCAATTGCGTTCCTCAAGCTTGCACAGCAGGCACTGTATGGTGAGCCATCTCCCCAGCTCCTTTTGCCTGCTTTTGAGAGGGTTGCACTGGGAACATGATGAGAAGTGGCTGAAGAGCTGCTGAGGAGGTTCACAGTGCCCAAGAGCTACGAAGGGGCACAGAACAAGGAACACAACAGGGAATGGAGATGGGAGTGCCCAGACCGAAGAAAGGAGGGAAAAAAACAGAAAGCTGCCAAGAGTCAGAGAAAAGAAACACAGGTTCACCAGGCAGTGGTGGCGCATGCCTTTAATGCCAGCACTCGGGAGGCAGAGGCAGGTGGAGTTCTGTGAGTTGGAAGCCAGCCTGGTCTGCAGAGTGAGTTCCAGGAGAGAAACCCTGTCTTGGAAAAAAAAACAAACAAACAAATAAATAAATAAATAAATAAAGGACCATTACTGGCAGATGCTCTTGGTCTGACAAGGGGTAGGTGACACTGACAGCTGCTAGGTGAGGGTCCCGAAATCCAGGGCCCACCTGAGAGTCTAACACTAGCAGCTGTGTGCAAAACCTAGAATCTCTAACCCAAGCATTTGCAGCCACTGTTCCGGCCACGGAGTCTGGGGCTGTAGATTCCTATTCTCAGGACTTGCAGCTGGATGGCTCTGAGTCTGTCACCTCGGCTTAGAAGAAAGCCTTTGGCACCCAAGGGCCCAGGTCTTCAACACTAGAAACACTCCCCCTTGACTACTCATCATGGGTAGAAAAAGCAACCAGCCTTATTAGTAAAGGGGTAAGACATATTGGTATCAACCACACCATTGCTACACATCCTACAAGGCTGATTAGAACGTCACTGACTTTGCAGACTTGGAATTTTACAGGTCCCAGAACCAAGTAATCTTGGGCTAGACATCTTTTAGCTCCTCAATTAGCCACCTATGCCCCTCAGTGCACATGTGAGCTATTATCTTTTAGACTATTAGGTAAATACTTTTGGAATGTACAAGTGAACCCGGCTTTCACCAGCCCAAAGGCTAAGAATGTCATCAGATGTCATTCAAGGCCTCTAACAGAGGCCACCCCACTTGCTGTAATCCACCTACCTGAGATTTCCACCAAGGCTTTTGTTTTGGGAGACAGGGTTTGTCTGTATTGCTTTGGAGCCTGTCACAGAGATTTGCCTGCCTCTGCCTCCGGAGTGCTGAGTTTAAAGCCGTGTGCCACCACCACCCAGCTCACCAAGGCATTTTAAGTGTCTTCATTTATCATTTTCTTTGTCCCGTTACCATATAAACTCCATAAAGCTTATACTACACCAGAAAAAGATATTTGAGGTGAACTGACTCTCTTCCTGTGCCACAGTCACTCATATTTGGCTTCAGTATAATCAAGAGGACGTCATGTAGAGACTGGGAAGGTAGGACATGCCAGGCATTCTCTGATAAGATAAGGCCATGTAGAAATACATAGACTAGTAGTTATAGGTTAATAATTAAGAGAGAACTAGCCAGTAAGAAGCCCTAGCCATTAGCCAACAGTTTATAATTAATATTTCTCTGTGTGCTTATTTAGGGCTGATGAACCTGTGGGGCCAGGCAGGAAAAGAAACTCCAGTTACAATTTGAGATGAGGGCTGTGTTTTATATAAACAAAGCTAAAGTTTTGCCTGTGGCTGTTAGCTCTTACTTAGAGCTGAGGATTATATCACCAGCCCCACTGACAATCAAAGTCCAACCATGTCTCTGGCCTTAGCACAGTGGTTCTCAACCTGTGGGTCATGACCCATTTGACAAACCTCTATCCCCCAAAATATTTCTGTGACAGTTCATAACAGTAGCAAAATTGCAGTTATGAAGTGGCAATAAAAATAATTTTATGATTGGGGGTCAGCACAACCATAACAACCATAACCAAAAGCAACTCTGGAGGAAAAGGTTTATTTCATCTTACACTTCCAGGTAAACAGTCCATCATTGAGGAAGTCAAGGTAGAAACTCAAACAGGGTAGGAACTGAAGCAGAAGCCATTGTGTAGCCCTGGCTGTCCAGGAATTTACAGTGTAGGCAGGCTGGCTATGAACTCAAGAGATCCACTTGCCTCTGCCTCCCAGAGGCTGGGATTAAAGGCGTGAACCTCCACAGCCCGGCTTGCTTTTGCCTTCTTATAGAACCTAGGCACTGCTCATAATTACTCCACATTAATCACTAATTTAAAAACACCCCCTAGGCAAGTATGATAGAGGTATTTTCTCAATTGTGGTCCCCTCTTCTCACATATGTCAAGTTGACCAGATAAATAAATAAATAAATAAATAAATAAATAAATAACCAGTGCTCTGGGTCAGCTAGCCCAACTCATAGGCCGCTGGTACTCAAGACTTGGTGTGAAGCCCACAGCAACTTGGCACACACCTGCTTCTTGGCAGCACCGCTGCCGTGCCAAGTCTCACTGCAGACCAATCAGAAAGTAGACCTGAAGTTTCAGTTTACCCCGGAGCAACACCTGACTCCAGGAGAGGCCACAAGCTGGGACCACCCGGGCACCACCCAGGAACGGATCATCCAAGTGAAAAGTACCTAACGTTCCAACCATTGTAGATAGGATCACCTGATGTCCCTCAGCCTAGCACATACCCATCCCCTTTCACCAAGACACCCCTAGACAAATGTTAGCCAATTAGGGTCCTGAACCCTGAAAATCCCCTCACCCCCAACCTCTACTATAACAAAAACCCTACCCTGCCCGGGATGGGCACTCTCTGCTCTCAACGGCTGTGGGAGAGCCCAAGTTTGGGCTTGAATAAAGGCTAAAGAGCAAACGCTTTTACATACAGGACTCGGTCTCCTTGTTAGTCTCTGGGGGACTCCACGATCGGGGCATAACACTCAATACTTGAACATCTTGCCTAATCCACATGCATAGGGCGAAGATGCTCCTACCATTCTGCTAACAAAGATAAAGGCATTTGGGGTACTATTATGTACTCCATCTCTAGACTGGATCTCACGTCCAAAACCTGGCACAGGGGTTCTGTCTGCCCCAGTCCTAGGATCCCTACAGCTTCACAGATGGGCCACCAAGTTTGTGCACACTGTAGCTCCAACCCTCAGGACGCCTACCGACAGGGTTTGCCGGACCGCTGTACTCTGACCCCCGGCCCAGTCCTGTCTCAGCCTCCCTGGCTGTACAGGCCTACCAACTCGCCCAGAGCTGCTTCACCATGACTCAGCCCAGGACAGAGATTTTGCACGACTGTTCCAGAAAAGAGGCGGAGGACAAAGTGGGACCGAGCCGTGGACTCACCAGATTGGTCTCACAGCAAGTGACAACACCACTGTGCGCGCCCTGGGGGTGGGGGTTGTTTCACAGCGAGGAGGGATTGGCTCGCCTTTGGTGACGTTTTAGGCGCGCCGGAGAGCCTAGCCTAGGCATTACGGGATTGGCTGACATTTGCAGTGCGTCATCGGAGCGCGACGGGAACGCCCAGGATGCATGACTCTGTATCTGTTGGCTGAGAATAAATGGCCCTGGCTCTAGCAGATGCAATGCTACGCTTTCCGGCCTTGCGAGAAGTCGGGTGCCACGCGGGGATTGGTGCTGCAGTTCGTGCAGCGGTGTCGCCAGGCTGACCACGAAGGACACCGCTTGTCTGTCTCCGTCGTAGGCCCCCAGCTACCCACGAGAGCCAGGTACCGGTGTGTCGTTGTGGGTCGCGTTGAACCGGGTCACAGGTGCTGCTGAGTTAGGGGATCACAGGAGCTAGTGAACCTGGGGCTGGCGTCTTCGCGCCGTGGTTTCCTCTGGCCTGGGCGTCAAGGGGTTACTGATTTAGCTCAGTGACATATTACATTCCCCAGGTTAACTGTCCTGAACCAGTGTCGTGGGCCAGGCGTGGTGATTCAGGCTTGTAGTCTTAGCACTGGGGAAATTGAGCCATTAGATCGCAAGATCCAGGGTATAAATTCTGGTATAAATAATGAAGATCTTTTCTCATGAAACAGTCTACGAAACGGGCATGCGGTTCACACCTTTAATCTTAACGCTTCCGGAGGCAAAAGCAGGGGATCTTTGAGTTGATGGTCTGTGTGGTCTTCAAATTGAGTTATAGGACAGCCAGGGCTACATAATACAGACTGCCCTCCCATATAATTAAAAAATAATAATAAAAAATAGAGACAATCGATGGTCATTTGGTAATAGCATCAAGTGCTGACATCTTTGAATAAAAACGTCTCATAGTGGGGATTCTGTTGCGCAGGATGCCGGAAGGTTTTCTCGCCAGCAGGAGAGTCAGCAATTAGCAACTAAATACACTGGGAGGGGGACGAGTTGAGGGTGGGAAGTGAAGGGGGCTGGCAGGTGGTAGGGATGATGTTTGGAAAAAGTTAACACTGCAGCTTAGTCCTTGCAAGGCAAATAGATGTTTACTGAAGTCTAAGAGTTCTAAACAAGGAATAGATTAGGAATTTCCCCAGTGGGGAAATGAAGTGATAGAAAGATGTGAAAAGATCTCTGGGGGACTTGAACTCTGGAAAGTGCAAGAGTTTTGAACCATTTGATGGGTGACAGAACATAGAGGAGACTTGGACTTAAGCCTGGTCTCCAGGATGCCAAGCCTTTCTAGTTATCTATTTCTTGTGGGTAATTAATGGCTTGAGCCTCCTTCCCTAATCAGCTCTGGCCTGATATCATTAAGTAGTAAGTACAAAGTAAAACTCAGTGCATAAGAGAGTAAGACGCAAGGGACAGACCACACTGGGGGAGTGTAGTCGACTAATGTCATTTAGCACCTGGGAATAGAATCTTGATGTCAACAAGTGTACTAAGGAGAAGATGAAATTGCAACTGGAAATCCAAGGAAATTGTAGTTTTCAGTGGCACCTATGAATTGAATATGGAAAGCCCTTCTCATTGTCACCACATTTGTTTTTGCCAGAGCTGGGGATTGAACCCAGAACTTCCCCTTCCCCCATGCTAGGCAAGCATTCTTTTATTAAGCTAAGAGGTATCATTCCTTAGAAGCCACGCACTGTTTTCTTTGAAATAGGATAATTTGTCAGTGAATCCTGTCTGGCTCTTCAACACTAGGTTTCCCATCACTAGCCACTAATTGTAATGATTTTTTTTTTTTTCCTTTTTGAATCTGGGTCTCATTCTATCTCTGAGACTGGCCTGGAACTGCTATGTAGATCAGGGCCTCATTTTCTTCATTTCTAATTCCCACAGGTGATTAATACTTAAATACCTGTCTTTTGGACACTGTGTTCATAATGGAGTTTCCTGACTTGGGGAAGCACTGCTCAGAACCAACTTGCAAGCAACTAGGTAAGAACTTTGAAGGGCTCCTTCTAGGAAATGGTTATCTCATTGGCAGTTTTGCGAGAAACCTCTGGCTATTAACATCATTAACTAACTAAAGTCCTGGTCTTTGGCTTCTCAGCATGAGGACTCTGGTGCAGGACACAGGGCCTGTTAAACACTGAAGTTTAACATCCACTTAAGGTCAGGTAATGGCCACCAGGGCTATGCAGATACAACAGGTATATAGCTTGGATGGTTGCGATACCACAAGAGATGGACTCTGTTGAGAAGATAGCTTTGTGGGTCCTTCGGTGTCTCTTGACCTTATTACATTTCTAGCTTTGGGACTGGGGTTGTGGCTGAGTTGGTAGAACTCTTTGTATGAAGCTCTGGATTCCATTCTAGCACCACGTAAAACCAATGTGGTGGCTCATGCCTGTAACCCCAGACTGGAGAGTGTCGAGTGGGAGGAGCAGACATTCAAGGTCCTCCTAGCTACCTAGTGAGTTCTGGACCAGCCTGGGCTAAATAAGACCCATCTTGAGTTTTCTTTCTTTCTTTCTTTCTTTCTTTCTTTCTTTCTTTCTTTCTTTCTTTCTTCCTTCCTTTCTTTCTTTCTTTCTTTCTTTCTTTTTTTCTTTCTTTTTTAATTTCCTCTCCCCAAAGTTGTTTTTTCTCAAATGTGACACTCCCAGGATCTATGTGTGTCTTAAAGGAATGAGGAGCCTAATGTAGATACGTTCCTGCTTTGAATGGTATGTAATTCTTTGGTTCCGGTCTTTCAGAAGATTTACTGGTTTGTCTTAATTTTTGTTTTTTAGATTTTCTGCCAGTAACATGTGATGCATGCAAACAAGATTTCTGTAAAGACCATTTTTCCTATGCCAGTCATAAGTGTCCCTTTGCATTCAAGAAGGTAACTCATCATCCTGGGGTCCAGACTGCCGCACACCACAGCCGTTCTGACCAGTTGTTCTGTGCAGGCCAAAGAGTGGTCTCAGATAGCCATGCCTTGAGTGTTGAATGAGTGGGTTTATTAAGTGTGTAGCCAGCCAAGGTAAAAGAGTAGCAAGAGCGAGCTGGAAGAAGGGGATGTGGATGGATAAATAGTATAAAACATTGTCCAGTTGGACACCAGAAACAGAAACAGCAGAAACGGATGGGGAGGTTGAGGGAGTTCGCAATTGCTGTTTTCTGACTTCTGTTCCCACGGCAGGTACTTCCCCATCACAGGGTAGGCAGCAGTCCCCCTGTTGGAAGTAGTTTCCCTTCTGGCTGTTCTCCGTGACATGGTGCTGTCACGTGGTCTGCATGGCTGTTCTGTTCTTTCTGTCACAGAGTTAGGGGGACTGACCCATCCCCAGGCAAGAAGTCTTGGAGGACATGTTGAGATAAACATGATTGGATTGGAAATGGGCTGGGGATGGGTTGCAGCATGGCTTCCAGAGCCAGCTTCTCAGTGAACTCAGGTGACCGTTTAGCAATGTAGTGTACGTCATAACAGGACAGTGGATACCAGCCACCCCAGCTGCTTGTGTTAATTTATTTTATTTTATTTTATTTTGGTTACTTGTTTAGTTCTGTTTTTTGAGACAGGGTCCCCCTTCATATCTGTAATAGCTTGGAATTTGCTGTCAATCAGGCTGGCCTGGAACTCAGAGTTCCATCTGTCTCTGCCTCCTAAATGCTGGGAGATAAAACATGCTCCACCACACCCAGCTGCTTTCTACCTTTTTTGAAACAAGTTCTCTTATTGAATCTGGAACTTACTAAGTGGCCAGACTGGCTGGCCAACCAGCCCCAAGATCTTCCTGTCTCTGCCTTCCCAGCATTGGTATTACAAATGCATGCTGCCAGCAGGTCATAGTAGTGGCACACACCTTTAATACCATCACTCAGGAGGCAGAGGCAGGCGTGCAAGGGAATAAACAGCTGGAGGGAGATGACCAATATTTAGTGTCTCTTCGTGCTACAAGATTGTATGGAAGGACCAATTCACGTGGCTACTGGAGTGTTTGTGCTCTGAGCCTACCCTGGTAGGTGCAGGGGGTTAGCAGTAGCAGTCTGCTGTGATAGTGATAGTCAGGAAGTCAGAAGGGGCCATGATTGCCTCTGCAGCCTGTGCTCCATGCATCCTGTGCTCCATGCATCCTGTGCTCCATGCATCCTGTGCTCCATGCATCCTGTGCTGTCTCCAGATAGTGTATTTGTATGGAAATCAGGACTGTGGCTGTAGGCTGTGACTCCCGAGGCCCATGGGGGAAGTCTGCACCCACTCAGTCAAATTGTGCTGTGTATGAGGGCTGAGTAGGGGACAACTTCAGGTGCCATTCACCTTGCCTTTTTTTTTTTTTTTTTTTGAGGTAAGTCACTACTGCCTGTAATTCATCAAGTAGGTTAGGCTGGCTAGCTCGAAGGTCCCAGGGATCCTCCTGTCTCCATTTTTGCAGTGTTGGGATTACCAGCATATTCCACCAAAGGGGGGTGAGGGGACTCAAGTCATGGTGCTTGCTTGGGTGTCTTTACCAACGGGGCTGTCTCCCAGCCCTCAAATCTCACCCTCAGTGTGTGTGGCACATTCAAGCCTTCACAGTTGGCCCTTCACTTCACACACTTGGCTTGTGGATCCCCCTGCAACAGGGAACAGTAGTTGTCAAAGTTTCTCGTTCCTTCTGAGTCATTGTAGCAGGAGTTTCCTAGAAGATTCCACACTGTCCAGCTGACACTGGGAGGTGCCCGTTAAAACCCAGGTTCCTCAAGTCCATGGGTTCACTCTGTCTCAAAGGTGACTCATAGGTTATGTCAGTGAACTTTGCCACTTCCCCTGGTGACATATGGACAGTAAGTGACTTTGTCACATGCCTTAAGCAGGGCTGGCTATAGTCCGGCCAAGTCATTGTGGTGGGTGGGGTAGGTGACTTACATCCCTGTTTACCAGGCACAGATGACTAGGTGCCATCCTGTTTGTGTGTCATCTGGACCTTTCCTTGTACCCATCCTGGGAAGTGTCTACTCAGTGATCACACAGGAATGCTTTGTTTCTTTGTGGGCCCATCAGCCAACTGAGGCAGCCCTTCTGCAGACAGCAAGCCTCACAAGCTTGTGATGCCTGTTCGCATCTGATGTCAGCTGCCTGCCCCATCCCCTCTGGCATGGACCCTCTCCCTCAGTGGTCCTGGCTCAGAGTTTTGCCATCACTCCCTGCAGAGCCCCCCTCAGTAGCTGGCAGTCAGCAGTGGGGTATAGCCCTGTGGATTTCTATTAATCTAAGTATTTCCACATGGTCTCAGCCCTGTCCTCTGCTGAGGCTATCTCCCTGCTTGTAAACCCACTGAGGATCAGAGTGACTGCTGGGACCCCTTCCTGCCAGTGTTTCCACCTATCACCTTGTCTCTGAGGGGTCAGGTGGGTCCCCTCCCACAGCCATGATATGCCCTCCACCCCCATCTCACCAGCTTCCTCTCTTGAGGGCCCCCCAAAGCTGGCAGTGATGGCCTTTGTGCGTTTAAATCCCACTGAACAACTTTGGGTGGTTTACTGTTATGCTGTAAGACACCATCGTGTGTGAGTCTTGGTGTCATTGTATGTTCATTATTTCAGGATGTGCAGGTGCCCGTGTGTCCCCTCTGTAGTGTCCCCATCCCTGTGAAAAGAGGAGAGATCCCAGATGTGGTGGTTGGAGAGCACATGGACAGAGATTGCACCTCTCACCCTGGGAGGAACAAAAAGGTGAGAGTTGGATTAGCGCTAACACACACGATGGTACACAGCATAGTGCTGCTGCTGCTGCTGCTGCTGCTAACACACGATGGTACACAGCATAGTGCTGCTGCTGCTAACACACGATGGTACACAGCATAGTGCTGCTGCTGCACACACGATGGTACACAGCATAGTGCTGCTGCTGCTAACACACGATGGTACACAGCATAGTGCTGCTGCTGCTAACACAGCATAGTGCTGCTGCTGCTAACACACGATGGTACACAGCATAGTGCTGCTGCTGCTAACACACGATGGTACACAGCATAGTGCTGCTGCTGCTAACACACGATGGTACACAGCATAGTGCTGCTGCTGCTAACACACGATGGTACACAGCATAGTGCTGCTGCTGCACCGATGGTACACAGCATAGTGCTGCTGCTGCACACACGATGGTACACAGCATAGTGCTGCTGCTGCTAACACACGATGGTACACAGCATAGTGCTGCTGCTGCTAACACACGATGGTACACAGCATAGTGCTGCTGCTGCTGCTAACACACGATGGTACACAGCATAGTGCTGCTGCTGCTGCTAACACACGATGGTACACAGCATAGTGCTGCTGCTGCTGCTAACACACGATGGTACACAGCATAGTGCTGCTGCTGCTGCTAACACACGATGGTACACAGCATAGTGCTGCTGCTGCTGCTAACACCGATGGTACACAGCATAGTGCTGCTGCTGCTAACACACGATGGTACACAGCATAGTGCTGCTGCTGCTAACACACGATGGTACACAGCATAGTGCTGCTGCTGCTGCTAACACACGATGGTACACAGCATAGTGCTGCTGCTGCTAACACACGATGGTACACAGCATAGTGCTGCTGCTGCTGCTAACACACGATGGTACACAGCATAGTGCTGCTGCTGCTGTTTTTCTTTTTCGGGGGAGGGGGTGCTGGTCAGGTTTCTTTCTTTTGTGACTGCATCTTACATAGCCCAGGCTGGTCTAGTATTTCTATATAGTCAAGGATGACCTTGAGCTCCTAATCCCCCTAGGTTCCTCTCCCTGAGCTCTAGTATTACAGTCATGCAAGATCATGCCTGTTTTATATGGTGTTGGGGATCGAACCCCAGACATTTTGCTTGTTGGGCATCAAAATGTGGAGTGCTGACAGTTGGTGGGAAGCCAGGTCTTCTGCATTGTGAATGGTGAGTTTGCCGCATAGAAACAGTTCCCAATCCTCACAAGGGTCTCAGTTTAGGTCCTTGTCTTCAGGAATCCCCAAGTGTCTCTTCTGATATAAAAGAGGGCAAGGGTTTCTAGACCCTTCCGTTAACTCTCTCCTTTCCTGCACTCCCTCTGGAGTCAGAAGAAATGGGTCACATTCTTGGTCCTCTCCTGGGGGGGGGCGACAGGGTGAGAGGCGGGTGTGTGCCTGTCTTTGGTCTTTCTTGGTGAAGGTATGGACGTACCTTCTCTGCCACCCAGAGGGCAGCACAGGCAGGGACAGTGTGGCCCCTGAGCTGGGCACTAGCTGCCTCTATTCTCAGCCTCTATCCTATCAGGCCTTCAGGTGGGCCGTGGCCTCTTTGGGATGTGGTCCTGCTGCGCCCAGCCTCCCAGTGACTGTTTCTGCCCACTGTGCTTTGCTTCCTCAGAGGGCTTGCTCTGAGGCTCTTCCAGCTAATAGCTGTGTCTTCTCCACCTGCTAGTAATTTTAGCTTCTGAAATCTGGCTACAACCTTTTCCTCCCTTTCTCCCTCCTCCTACACCCCAGCTTCACCTTCCCCTCCCTCCCTCCCTTCGTGTTTTTGAGACCTAGTCTAGCTTATTCCTGATCCTCCTGCCTCAGCTCTCTGATTGCAGGCCTGCACCATTGTGCCTCCCTTTTTATTGTTTGCTTTTCTAGACTTGTTGCTTTTAGCGAAATGTGCTGCCATTTTGTTTATTTCATATGGGGAAGAGCCTTAACATTTGCAGATCCTTTCCTTATCGGCCTTCTGCAGGCCGCACATTCCCAGGGCCTGAGCTGCAGACTGAGGAGCCCTCACATCCTGGCTGCTCCTCCCCTGGGAGCTCCCCCTGCTTTTTTCTCCTGCTTGTTTTTTTCTTGGATGCTCGCCCCACCATTTTCCAGAGTAAGCATACACTTGGGCCGGGGAGCAGCTAAATGGATAAAGCTTTCTGCCTGCCCATGCAGGCTTCACAACCTGAGTTAAATCCTCAGAAACTACTGTCCCAGAACCGCTGAGCCAGTTACCATGGTGCTGCTGTCACGCCCTTGCTTTGCCTCCCTCCTTGCCCTGTTTTCTTTCTGCCTAGTCTTCCAGGAAATCACCTGTTGCCTCCCCCAAGGGGCCACAGCTTTGCTGACTGCATAATCGGTGTTTGCCTTTCACCTGGCACAAGCTGTTTAAACAGAACCTTGGCATCCTCATTCTGAGCGCCCAGGGCTTGTCCTTAGCTTTTTATTTTCCCCTCTTAAAACAACTTTTAAAAAGCCAGATGTATGCCTTTAATTCCAGCAATTAGGAGGCAGAGTAAAGGCCGGCATGGTACATGGCAATATGGCAAGCTCCTCCTGGCCAGCCAAGGCTACATAGTGAGACCCAGACTTTTTTTTTTTTTTTAAGAAAAATAAAAAGCAATAAATAAAATTTTTTGTTTTGGTTTGTGTGTGAATGTATATACACATGTGTATGCATTGCCCTTGCATGAAGGTGTAGAGTCCAGAGAAGGGTGTCTTCTGGCTGCGCCATCATTCCCTGCCTTATGCCCTCTTCTGACAGTTTCTTGTTGAAGCTGGAGCTAGGCTGACAGCAAGAAAGCTTCAATCCCCAGCCCCCATCCCCATCCCTGTCCCTCACAAGCCCTGGTTGCAGCATGTGTAGCTGTGCCCAGATTTTTACGTGGGGATCTGATCTTCGATCTTTATCTCCTTACAAGTGCTCTTATCCACTGAGCCATCCCCGCAGCTTCAGGTTTTGGTTTTTGTTGCTTTTGTTTTTATTGGGCAGTGTTGGGGAATAAATCTGCTGCTAAGCCACACCCATAAGCTTCAGGTGTTTGTGTGTGTTGAGGGCCAAGGCACAGTTCTCTCCTAATGCAGACTCTTTGAGTACTTAGAGTCACAACCCTGTGCTGCCAGGGTCCTTTCCAGGTAGGCTGGTGACATGCTGCTCACAGAAGTTACTTTGCTCCTTGCAGGTTTTCACACACCGATGCTCAAAAGAGGGATGCAGGAAGAAGGAGATGCTCCCGCTGGCTTGTTCACAATGCCATGGCAACTTCTGCATTCAACACAGGCATCCTCTGGACCACAACTGCCAAGCTGGGAGCAGCTCGGCCAGCAGTGGGAGGTGAGCACGGGCTCCTAGTGCTCCCAATCTGGTGTGCGTCATGCCGTGCAGACAGAAGCTTATATTCACAGTCTGAGCTGGAGTCCTGTGAAATTAGTCCTGTAGCTGCTGCATACTGGGGACTTCAACATCAGGAATTTATTCTTTCATGGGCCGAGAACAGAGAGTTGGCAACTGGACGGCTCCTTCTGAGAGGCCCCACTTCTCCCACTGTCTGGTTTGCCCAGTGCTCCCTGATGAGCCTGGCTTTGTAGCACATTGCTCCCATCTCTGCCTTGGTCTTGGTGTGGTTTTCCCAAGTGCCTGTCTGTATCCTGCCTCCTGCTGTTAGCACACGGTCAGTTGTGTGGCTTGCTGTCTTGACTGATGACTGGGGTGACTGATGCTCAGTTTGGTCATCTCAGTGAAGACTTGTCTCTAAAGGAGGTGTCCTTCCTGACTGCCAGAAGTTGGGTTAGGACATTGGCATATCTTTTGTGGGAAGGGGCCCAGGACATCCCTTATTGCTACTTTTATAAGTTATAAAAACTTCTTTTTTGTTTTGTTTTTTGAGACAGAGTTTCTCAGTGTAGCTTTGGAGGCTGTCCTGGAACTAGCTCTGTACACCAGGCTGGCCTCGAACTCACAGAGCTCTGCCTGCCTCTGCCTCCGAGTGCTGGGATTAAAAGCATTCGCCATCAATGCCTGACATAGTAGTAGAAACTTCTGTCTGCACTCACTCCCGAGCCAAAATGAAAGATAACTTACTGTGTGTACTCCCCTGCCCACCCACCCATGTATGCACTCGAGTGTACATGGATGTTGGTCCTTGATTTCACTTTATTTGATCCTGTTTGCGTGTGCCAGCCTAGCTGACCTGAGAGCTCCCCCGGAGGTTCCTGCCTCCACCCCCCATATCCCTGTAGCATCCCTGGGATTTCGGACACACACTAGCATCTGGCTTTTACATGGTGCTGGGAATTAAATGAGTCCCAGGCTTGGGCAGCAAGCACTCTCCACTGAGCCATCTGCCAGCCCCATAAGTTACCTTTTAGTTTTTCATCTTTTGTTGGGGCTAACAGGATATACATGCTAGCTACAGCAGGCATATGGAGGTCAGAGGACAGCTAAGTTATTTGTAGTTATACTTGACTTTCTTGAGCTGTTTGTATATTTGAGGTGGGCTCTCTTGCTGTGGGTGAGAGGGTCTAATAAACGCAAATCTGACTTTCTCTGTAGGTCTTCAGCATCCAGAGCTCCTGAGCAGAAGCCATCGGGAATCAGTTGGCTGGCCCAGCAACTCAGGTACTAGTCTAAATGGCATGTGAGACTTCAGCTGTGCTTTTCAAACATGTGATGTGGTGTGCTTCCATAAGAAAGGCCAGGCCTGGCCACAGTAGCTGTTTCTAGAATATCTCCAGTGGTCTCCGAGGCCCTTTATCATGACAGACCCCTTCTAGGCAGTTCTGACATGTGTGGTCACCCATGGCTTCTTTCTTGTCTTTTTCAGACGGACCGTGAAGTGACAGTGAGGCTCCTGTCTGGGCTGAACACCAGCTCCTTTCTCTGTTGGGTTTTAACCTTGGTGATGTGGTCTCCAGCACTTTCCTGGTTCTCCTGTTACACTGAGTCTTTATGAAAACGTCTCCCATTGACTGTTGAAGTTAGGGCAGGAAGATGGCTCAAAGCATGAGGACCTAGTTTATTCCATGAATCCATGCTTTTAAAAAAGCCAGATGTGGGGTTGGTGCACACTTGTAATCCCAACACTTGGGACTCTGACCAGCAGCGTAGCCTAATTGGAGAGTTCTTACCAGCAGAGAGAGAGGCCAGCATACCTCCTTGAGAAACAAGGTGGACACTTCCTGGGGAGGGACATCAGCAATTATTACCTCCAGCTTCACACACACATATGTGCACCCACATGTGTACACACACACACACACACACACACACACAGACAGCACAAATTATTTAACAAAATAAATGAGGCTGTTCAGCACTTGGAGGTGTATTAGGTTACCACAGCAAGCTGCTGAGCTCGGGAGCTACCAACCTGTGTAAACCTCATAAGCCGTGGCTTTGGCTTGTGCTAAACCATTCCAGGACTTGGTGTTCTGGGAAATTCTGTCCTGTAACAGAAAAGACCTGCCGATGGCTCTACATTCTTCCCTACATGGCTTTGGTAACTGGGTGTCCGTGGGGCACAGTCCACTCCTGGTGCCCAAGAACACAATCAGTGTGGTGCCCTTTCCCGACCCTGGTGTTGAAATAGAAACTTCCCCACGTGCTGAAGTGCCGTGGCAGTCCTTCTTGAGCTCTTTGAGGAGCAGTGGGGATGGACTGCAGGGTGCAGCCACCATCGATCCTGTGTTGCCTGCATGGCCTGACCAGCTGTGCCACCAGTTGGCCGTGACATTGTGGGGAATGTCATTTGATTGATCCTGATGACCACTGGGTGTCAGGGATGAAGTGGGACTAGCCGCCTAATCCGGTTTTGCCCTTAATCCTGATTTCTGATGCCTTTGGGAAAGTTAAACTTCCTGAATTACGTACTAGCAGCATTCTGCAGTTTGTGTGGCCCCCTGGCTGTGGTGGGAAGGCAGGGTGGGGTCTACTCAGCCACTGCTCCAAGGACTGGACTGTGACTGCCCTAAGCCTGTGCCTCTCCAGGGTCCACATCAGTACAGCTCCTGACTCACTGTACTTCCTCCTACCCCCAGTCTCTGCCCAGATCTGAGGGGACTTGGGTTGCTCTCAGAACGAAGTCCAGGCAGTGTTGATGTGTGGGGACAGTGAGACAGATCGTTTTTCTGTGCCTCCACGTTCCCAGGATGGTGGTAGCCAGCATAGTGGAGATTTTCATTCCTCTTCAGCTTTTAAATAATCTGGGTTCACTAACTAGGCAGTGTTTAAGTATGTGGGGGGCTTGGGTGAACGGATCTACCTCCTAACCATTTCATGAAATAAAAGTACCTCAGCTGAGATGACTCCAAATTGAGAGTTAAAAGCACACTGAGTGGGCCTGGGCAATGGACTGCTCTTCCAGGGGACAAGAGTTCGGTTCCCTGCACCCACATTGGATGGCTCACAACTACATATAAACTTCAGCTCCAGGGGCATCCAATGCTTCTGGCCTCTGGGCCCTTGCACTCAAAGGCACAGACTGTTAAAGAAAAATCAGAAGTACATTGGGAAAGGTTAGGGCTAGCTTTGTTGGGTTAACACTCACCTAGAGTCTACCAGTTAGGAGCTGGGACCATGATTCTATAGGAGGGCATTTGCCTAGAACCCCTTAGATCTAGGGCATTGTTTAGTAGTAGAGGACCTGTCTATCATGTCTGAGACAAAGGAAGCAAAACAAAATCACCAGGCTTTGGAGCAATATCAAATGTAAGACATTGTTTATATGATGAAATATTTTATATGTAATGGTTAATAAAATAATTTATTTCACCTGCTTATTTCCTTTTTAGACAGAGTCTAAATAGTGATATGTGTCACTTATGAGCTCCAGTGTGGCCTTGGGCACCCACAGAACCCTCCCAGAGGCACAGATGAGAAGTGGGACTGAGGCCAGATAGAAAGATGGAGAAAATTAACAAAAGAGAAAGGAGGTACTAATACAGGGGTCTATTTGAAAACTTAATTAGCTGAGAAACAAGGATTCTAACATAGTAAATAACTGCTTAAGGCCTTGCTTTCCTCAACTTGATGCTCCCAAAGAGGATCAGATTTCAGTTCCCACCACCCACATCTCGCAGCTAATTCTCCCTCAAGGGGCTCTGATGCCTTCTGGTCTCCATCCTGGAACTAGCTCTTGTAGACCAGGCTGGCCTCAAACTCACAGAGATCCGCCTGCTTCTGCCTCCCAAGTGCTAGGATTAAAGGCATGTGCCACCACCACCCAGCTTGAAAATCCATTTTAAAAGATTATATTTTCATCCAAGGCACTTCTAGAGCCACTCTATGATTTCAATTATAGAAAAGGGAGCAGAGATAGAGGAAGGGGTGTACCCTAAAAACCTGTTCTGTAACAAGATTCCAAAAGATGCCAAAACCCTACATACAGTCACCATTAAGTCACTAAACCACTGATCTTTAAGAAGCCCACACTAGGGTGCTGGAGAGATGGCTCAGAGATTAAGAGCACTGACTGCTCTTCTAGAGGTCCTGAGTTCAATTCCCAGCAACCACATGGTGGCTCACAACCATCTTCAGTGAGATCAGATGCCCTTGTCTAGTATGCAGGCATAGATGCAGATAGAGCACTTGTATACATAAAATAAATAAATCTTAAGAAGAAGAAGCCAACACTAATGGGCTGGAGAGTTGGCTTGGCTGGAGAGAGGTTAAGAAGACCCATGTTCAATTCCCAGCACCCACATAATGACTCACAACTGTCTTATAACTCCAGTCCCAGAGGATCTGAAACCCTCCTCTGACCTCTTTAGGCACATACATAGTGAACATACGTACACACAAGCCCACACACACATAAAAACAAATATAAAACCAGTCAGGCATGGTGTCGCACACCTTTAATCCCAGCATTTGGGCAGGTGAATCTCTATGAGTTCAAAGTCAGTCTGGTCTACAAAGCAAGTTCCAGGATAGCTAGGACTGTTATATAGAGAAAGCTTGTCTTGAAAAAAACCAAAATCATAATAATAATAATAATAATGAAAAAGCCCACATCCATACTCATTCGTGGTTTATTATACTTTGGTGACTTCCTTTCTTCTTTGTTTTTATTTTTGTTTTGAGACAGTGTCTCATTATCTATCCTGATAGACGGGTGACCTCTGAACTCAGAGATCTATCTGCCTACCTCTTCCTCTCAAAGGCTGAGATTAAGGGTGTGTGTGAGCCATCACACCCTGCTCATTCTTTTGAAACAATGTCCCAAGTATCCAAGGTTGACCTCAAGGGTAGTCTTGAACTACTGACCTACTGTTCCCCACTTTCCAGGTACAGACATTCCTTACTATGCCAGTTTATAAAGTGCTGGTGATGGAGCCCATGGCTTCACCCATGCTAGACAAACATGCTACCAAGTGAGCTACAGCCCAACCCACCCTTAATAGACTCTGACTCGGCTTCTCATTGGCTTGTCCAGAAATTCCTTTCTGCACAGACGCCAAGGAGCCTGTTTTACCTGAATCAAGGACCCTAAAAGATTTTCTTTCTTTCTTTTTTTTTTTTTTAATTTAAGGAAATTTGAGGGCTAAGTGCTGGCTAAGCACTGGCTGCTCATCCTGAGAATCCGAGTCCAATTCCCAGCACCCACTTGGTGACTCACAACCATCTGAAATTCTAGTTCCGAAGAATCCAGTGCCCTCTTCTGGTCCCTGTAGGCACTGCATGCCAATGTGCACAGAAAACATGCAGACAAAACACTAATATGCATAAAATTAAAACAAATCTTTATTTTAAAATAAAAGGAAGTAAAAAATGTTTTTAAAGAAATTCCTCAGGCTTCTACAAGTGACAGAATGGAGACCCCCATCCCAGTTGCTGCTGGCAGGACTGCACAGACGATGCACCAGTGGACACCATCCAGTACTCACTGGATTGTTTGGCTGTGTCATTATCCACCTGTCAGTGAGCTACAGCCCTGGCTCTACAGACTGTAAAATCAGCCTTTTACTCTGGAGAGAGAGAGAGAGAGAGAGAGAGAGAGAGAGAGAGAGAGAGAGAGAGAGAGAGATTGTGTTGCCAACATATGTGTCTGCACCTGTGTGTGCCTGATGTCTTTGGAGGTCAGAGAAGGGTGTCATATCTCCTGGAATTGGAACATGGCAGTGGTTGTGAGCCGGCACGAAGGTGCCAGGAACTGAACCCAGGTCTTCTGGAAGAGAAGCAAGTGTTCTTGACCACTGAGCTATCCAGCCCTGGAAGCTGATTCATGGGTTCATGTTGTTTAAACAGAATCCCAGTATGCAGCTCAGGCTAGCCTTGAGCTTGAAATCCCACTGCCTCAACCTCCCAAGTGCTAGAGTACTGGGGTCACAGGCAAGGGCTCTCACTCCTGTTAAGCCTGTTGGCCTCATTTGGGGAGACTGCTTGGGATCTATGCCTGGCATTGGGCTGGAAGGGCCTGTGCATTTGCCAAAGCCTTCCTTCCTGCCTCTTATGGGGCAGACACATCTTCAAATGCTTTGACATCTTAGACTTGGCTTTAGAATGAGTCATTCTCCCTTTCTTGGCTGCTCCCTCCCTTTTCTGAGTTGACTTCTGTTGTCATATCCAGTCCATCTCTGGGTGGGACCCAAAGCCTGGCTGTCGTTAAGACCAGAGACTAGGGACAGAGGGCTTGCCTTTCAGGAGTGTGAGCTGCAGTTTCTGTCCTTTTCACAAGATGTCACCAAAAGGCCTTCTTTGGAATAGAGGTTGACAGAGCTACAGGCCATTCCTGGGAGGCACTGAAGTGCTAGGTGGCATCCCCAAAAACCTCACCTCACTTTCTTAGCTGGGGACAAACAATGGGCTCTTCAGTTCCTCAGCTCCAAAATGAGTTTAGGAAGTGGGTCTGTATGTGAATTAGACTTCCTTTCCCAAAGTCATCTATGGTTTACAAGTGTCTTTTTTTCGTGTGTGTGTGTGTGTGTGTGTGTGTGTGTGTGTGTGTGTGTGTGTGTGTGTAGCCCTGAACTTGATACTTGATATCAGGCATTTGCCTTGATCACTCTCCACTTTGAAGGCGCTCTCAATTGATCCCAGAGTTCGATGATTCATCTACTCTGGCTAACCAAGTTGTCCTGGGGCTCCTCTGTCTCTGTCCCCTGAGCACCAAGATTATAGGCAGCCGCCATGCCTGCTCACTTATTCACTTGGGTTCTGGGGATCCTGTCCCCACACTCGTGAAGCACACACTCTATCCACTGAGCTGTCTCCTGCCCTCTGTTTTCAAGGGTCTTGGAGGGAGTATGAGAAGGGAAGCTGGCTTGACTGTTCTTCCTGCCCCGAGGAAAGAATGCCTCGTTTTATTTTTCTGGAACAGTGTGAAAACTTCCAAGCGGGGGCGGGAGGGATGGCTCGGTGGCTGAGAGCACACACTGCTCCTCCAGAGGACCCCAGTCTGACTCCCAGCACCCATGTCAGGTGACTCACAATGTGCTCCAGAGGATTCTGGCCCCTCTGGCCTCTGTGGCCACCTGCACTC